TTTCCATTTCACGAAATGTGATGGGCACAATACATGGGCAATTTAGGAATTAGATTAGGAAAGAACCAAATAAAGATATCAGATTATCTAGTTAGTAAAGAGATAATTTAAGGTAGGAATCTGAAGCTAGAGATAAGCTTTATTTGCAAATTAGACACAAGAGATCCAGTCTTGCAGATCAAGTCAGTAGTCCTATATATCAAGGATTGGCGTGTGACCTTTTGAGCAACTATGAGAAATCCAAAGTGGCAACGTTAAATTAAGCTAATCTACTACCCAGGTATTAGGCCTTGCAGTGGCTAGACGAGGGTGGGTTGCCCATTCCCCACCTTTGGACCCTTGCCAGTTCATCCCTTTAACACAAATAATGAAGACCATTTCCAAAAGAACTGTTTAAACTGTACACAGGATCTGTAGGTTCATTCCTGACAAAACAGCAGTATCCAGATATAGGAAAATTGACTTGTTTAAACTGTAAACTAGGTCTTCTGTTTTCATTTTCCTAAAATCTGGAGAAACATCCCTTTTTTCATACATTAACCTAATTTTCATGTGAATCTAACTGTAAAGAGAAGAGTCAACAATTTAACAATCTTCAGAATAATCGTTCAAACTAGGCAGTCCCACTGGTTATGGCACCTTTGAAAGCAAGAAACTGAGTCACCACAACAAGTTGTTACAAGCCAGTTTCCAGTGTAAGAGCATCTCTAGCAGATCCTGTAGAAGCGGTCAAACCTACAGATTTACGGTACAGGCTGAAAAAAACATACCGAATAGATCCTGTAAAATAGCATATCCCGTAAAAAAATTTACAGGCTCCTGTATATTAGAGCTCCCATCCATCATATATGGAGGATTCGAGCCGTTTTTTGAGGATCCTGTAAAATCGGTCAACGCCGGAGCAGGAGGCATGCGACGCCGCGTGCGAGCAGCGAGCAGGCGGAGGAGCTCGCCGGCAGCCGGCCGGAGCATCGCCGGAGCACGCAGTGGGCCGGAGCAGGCTGCAGGCCGGAGCGGCACCGTTCTGGCCGGCCAGAGTTTGAGTTGGTCATGCCTCATGTGTGCGTCTCGGGGAAGAAGCGTGAGGAGAAAAAAAATCTTTTATGGTTCGAGTTTACGGGATCTGTTCTGCCCGATGCCTCGCGGTACCGTAAATTCGTTTTAGGGGCTCTTGTATACTGTTTTTACAGGTGGTCTGTTTACAGGTTCTGCTAGAGATGCTATCTCACTAACAAAACTGAGCACGATACTGGTGAAGAGATGCCCCAACCATATTTCATCAATAATTGCTAATATCACAATGTCCTACATTAACTAACTGCATATAGGTCTAGGGATGCAAATTGATTGTTCTTAGGGTACCCTCTGACCCTACTTAATTCAACCAAATGAACAAAATTTCTGAAAGTGATGCGATTTTGAAAACTTAGTTCATTTGGCCGAACTAAAAGGGGTCAGAAGGTGGGAAATACGAAGGAGAACCTGGTTCCAGCGCACCCTATATGCAAAAAAAAATTAGTAATTCAAAAAAAGTTCAAAAAATTCCAAATCTTTTTTGGTATCAAACATGGTCAAGTATTGTAGTCGTATAAAAATATTCGTCGGAGAATGACTTTTATTGCATCCTGGGTCGAAGATTTGGCAAAAAACGCTATATACAAGCACTATGCACGCTATATTGTCGTCATAAACTTGTCTTTTTTGCCCTGAAGTCAATATGAATCATTTCTTGTCCAAACTTTTTATACGAGTACAATACCTGATCATCTTTGATTCCAAACAAGATTTGGAATTTTTCGAACTTTTTTTGAATTACTAAATTTTTTTGCGCATATAGGGTGCACGGGTACCCGAGAGCACCAAGTTCCCGTCCGTCAGAAGGTACCCTAGGGTAACTTTTAGGGTACCCATTTGCATCCCTGTATAGGTCCATAACTAAGGCTAGAAGCTCTTGCAGAGGCATATCACTTACATAGTTACATCGCATGCAAGGGAAGTGAATAACGAAAAATTCGACTTCCTCCGTCCTGAATTAGTTGACGCTCAAACGGATGTATCTAGATTTCTGTGCTAGATACATCCGTTTGAGCATCAACTAATTCCGGACGGAGGGACTATATACATATGATCCCCACTTATTTATCTCAACATGCAAGCATGCCACATCACCATACAGTTATGGATGGAATAAAGCCCACCTCAACATCCACATGGAAAAATACCCACCACCACAAGCAACCATGCATGGAAAAATACCCACCACCACAAGCAACCATGCATGGAAAAATACTTTTCATTCTATTATTCTACTTATATTCAATAAATATTTTACAATTATACATAATCAAATATAATAAGTCGAATGCATTTTTAATTTTGGTTCACGTCTTGTTAATCTAAATATTTATATTCCACACAATCATATCTCATTGAAATATATTGCAACCGATTCCCGCAGCAAAGCGCGGGGTATCATCTACGTAGTTAACATAACACGGCAAAACATATGCATAAGAAACAAGGATACAGCCAAAATAAATTCACACAAGCAACTTTAATTCCGAAGTGACAAGTGATTTGGATTTTAACTCACCTTTCTTCAACTAACTTCGGAAGAACAACATCTTTGTAGTATTTACTAGAAGACCAAGCCTTTATCTTGAAATTGAATACATTGCTTAGATTGTGACCAAAACGCTCCATTATAAAATCAGGCACTTTGTTAACTACTCGAACATCATTCTGTAGACGTTTTACAAAGTGTTCTTCATCATAAATATCCCTGAATTTGCTGTACCCAAAAGAAGACATCAGCAAGCATATTTGTGCTACTAAATCTACAGTTGTATAAAATTTAACTTGAAGGAGCCTGAACAAAAGGCACGGGCATCTATCCAACAAGAACGAATATATAAGTTGTCCAGCACCCAAAGCAGCCCAAAGTCCAGTACTGTGTGCTAGTTCATCTCTTAAATATTTAATTAATCTCACTCTTTATAACCTTAACAGTAAAAATAACCACCGTTCCTACAATGAATTCAAATTATCGATGCAACATGCAAATAAGGATAACAACCCATATCAGTTTTCGCCCTTTTCGGAGTGATACCCTGTGTAGTCAACTAGAACTAGCAAGAGAGTGTACAAGCGACTTCATATATGCTAAATTTGTTTGTTTTAGACGAACATACAGAAGGAGAATTGGGGTGTGTGAGATTGGGTGGGGGAGGGGTGTATCCTGGTTCCAACTTTGACAGTCTTAATTGACATGACATTCTAATGTGAAGTTAAGCCTTATAAGGTACTCCCTCCGTCCCAAAATAAGTGTCGCTGATTTAGTACAACTTTGAAGTTGTACTAAATCAGCGACACTTATTTTGGGACGGAGGGAGTAGTAATCAAGCATACGAGACTGAAGAGCAACTTAACTGTTCTAGAAACCTCAAGGTTTGAAAGAAAGAACTGAGTAACATGGTGTTTGGGAGAGGTACATATGACTGACAAATATGGTATAGAAAACAGACAAAGGGACATGTGCATACCAAAAAAAAAGGCAAACATCCAAACAAAGGCCAATTGCTTTGGGCACAAACCAAACACACCGTTATCGAGCAATAATACATATATTTCAGACTTACTGTCAAGTAGACAGCTAGTCAAAAATGTATTTGAGAATGGAGTGGGAGAAATGAGGAGACCTTGGATCCTTCCAAATGCTGTGGAAATGGAAATTCGGGATAATAAGAGTAGCATTTAGAAAACCAGCAATAGCAACCGCATTGCATATCTGGAAACAAGAAAAACAGAAGAAAGAGAAGCCCAAGTGAGTAACTTAAGTTACCAGAAAACAAGTATGACGTGAACAAACATAAACTGTCACATATGAAGAACCATTGAGAAAAGGCAACTACCGATGTCCTTTGTTGATTCAAACCACCATTTGCCTCCACATATATGTAGCCATTTGATTCAGGCAAACCTACACAAGTTATGAAAAACTATTAGGCACCAATTTGGTGGTGCTGTGTCTTGCAAACTGAAGAAGACATCCATGTGAATTCTCTAAAACTAACACGCCCGAGTGTTCCAAGTATGTTAAACTTGGTCAGAAAAGTGTATCAGGTTGATGAACAACTAATCTTCATGAGACTTTAACAACCCATCCATGTAAATCATGATTGGTCTCAGAATGTTTTCATGCAGTGATGGTAAGTTTTCGCAGGGAACTCACCACAAAGGAGCTGTGCCTAGATAATGGAAAGAAACAAGATCTGACATGATATTCGCATTTGAAAAACAAGAAGAGGAAACGGTGGTAACAGTGTAACTCCTGACCAACAAATCCGTAAGACATCACAGTTAAGTTCCTCATGATAGAATACAAGAAAGCAGGTCTTCTCTACCATAAATCTGAATGCGTTCGGGGGTTTATCGGCATTTGGAAAAAAAAACATATCTCAACGGGATTACACCCAAATAAAGAACGAACATATTATCAGGAAGAAAAAACAAAAGGCAGGTATAGATGGCATACTGTTTGTCAGATTGTGTATGCAAGGTCGCCAAACACCACCTTTGTAAGTTTGCCTCCATACAGTTGCTAACTACAAAAACATGACAAGGTGAGAGAAAGAAGCGTGTATGCAAAATATACATATAGATTGTAAAAAGGTGAGCAAGACAATTATGTGGATCAAGCAACAGAAATATCATAAAACACGTAGAGTGGAATAAACCACAGTCAGATGGCGCACACTCTTCTTCTATTCAATCAGGCAGGTGTATTGAATTCAGAAGCGCGAGAATTCATCCTCCTGTCAAACATCTTGCGGGAATTCAGAGGTTACATTGCTGAACGAACAGATCAGCAACATACCTTGAGCCTGCAGCTAGCAAACCAAGGTGCACTATCTAACTCAAGCAGTCAAGCAGGACTGACTAGATCATATAAGACGCTTGACAAACCGAATCAAGCTTCTGATGATGAGGACCCTTTAGTAGTTTGGGTCATCCACGGGCTGCAACAATCACATGAAGCAGGAAATAGCTAAGGAAAATCCGACAGGTCAGCAACCACTCCACTGCCATTTCAGGCTATTTGAAGGAGACCACAGCTGAATTCGAACTAATCAACTTGGACTAAACTAATCTAAATAGATACTACCAACAACCACTTGCTAATGGCGCGTGGTACACTAACTACATCTGCTAGATCAGTAAATAACTTTTGACACGCCAAGTCAACCAAGCCAGCCCACTTGGTAGTAACAGCGGCACACTTGTTACAGTCACTTAAAACGGCCAAGCATTTGTTTGCGCCCACATTGCAGCCGAAGAAGATCGAAATGCGGCGAGGAAGGGGGCACGGAGGAGAGGAGAGGAGGCGCTGACTAACCGCGTCGGTGGAGTTGTCGGCGTCCATGTCGGGGCGGAGGCGCGCGTACAGCTGGGGGCTGCGGTAGACGGAGCCGGGGGCGGAGCGCGTGATGATCCGCGGCACGACGTCGAGCGGGAGCGAGCCCATGTAGAGCAGCATGGCGGCGACGTAGAGCAGCGGCGCGAAGAGGAAGACGGCCTGCCGCCGCAGCAGCGCGGCGAGCAGCGCCCACGCCGCCCGCCTGGCCGCGGCGCCCCACCCGGCGGCCCCCGCCGCCGCCGCCGCCGCCTCCTGGGACCCCCTCGCCGCGCCGGACTTCCCCGGCGTCCGCCTCCCCGAGCCGCC